CTCTCTCTCTCTCTCTCTCTCTCTCTCTCTCTCTCTCTCTCTCTCTCTCTCGTAACACCTCTAATCTTCGTCCCTTGGATGACGTGTTTGCGTTGCAAGTGCCGTTAAACTCCTACTAAAAAAGTAGGATGAGTGAAAGGCTCGCTCTCACGTACATTACACTCACAATTGGTAGTTGACCCAGGGCTGGTTTGTCCGTCCACCTTACTGCTAGCGGCGAACGTGCATCGCTGATTAGTACTGATCAGGGGATAATTATTTCACGTCTACGTAAAAGCCTGTCTGCTGGTCTGGTTCGTGGTGAGTTCAATGAACGGTTTTTTACTCAGCTGGAGTGGTTTGTGGTTCAATCGGAAATCTAAATCGGGGCTAGCCGACCCGGGTGATGATATCGCCCACTCGTTGCCGATTTGGTCATTTTGGTGGGCGGTGGGGATTACTCGGTTAGTGAAAGAAAATGTTATTCGAGCTGCTTGGAAATTACTTAATATATTATGTTGGCTGGTGGAACGGACATTTGTAGCATCTTCACCCAATCCGTACGTCGTGTTTTACTACTATCGTATCCATACAACGTGGGGAACTCTGTGCCACCACTTTCCAAAGAGGAAATTTACTCGTTAATCCGATCCGTACGCTTTGCATAGCAGTCTGTCAAAATGATTTTTTTTTCTTAAAATACTGAAAGTTTCAAAGAGATCATCCAACTAGAAGTATTCTAAAATGTGACGAATACAACCCCGGGTGTACGGGTAGGGTTAACGGTGGCGAAAGTGGGCGCGGTGCTGGCTGTAAAAAGGTTGACAAAAGCTGATCTTCTAAATGTATCGTCGGAAGTCGGTTCATCCACGTGTTTTGGCGCCTTTTCTTCTCTCACACTCCCGCGGCCGCCGACCCGCCCCCACCCTTCAAAGTAAGGGGGAAAACCGTTTGAAGAAAATAAACGTAATAATACACATATTATGCTCGCCTTTTCAGTCGTCTTTTGCTATAGTGCTAACTTCTGCTGAAACTGCCCAGAGTGCAAAGTAGTGAGTTTTTTTGTTTTTGTTTTAAATTATTTTTAACAATTATTATTAACGTTTTCATTGCTGTCATGTCTAAAAAAAATTTTAATGCTCCTACTTTTATGTGATAATGTACGTTTCCCTTTTTTCAGTACCGCGGAGACAGTACTTTGGCTGTTAGTCCTTTTGTCTGTATATTATATATTTAGTCTCCTTGAAGCCGACATCCAAATTGTTTAAAAGGAAAATTTGGATGCTTATATTTGTCTTACTCGTTTGTTTTTTAATACATGTCTGTCCGTCCTTTTAGTCGGTTGTAAGAAAGGCCGATTTTGGAAAATCTGTTTGTGGCATTTACACTCCCAAATTGTGTCGATATAGTGGTAAACATACTATTCTGAAACTCAAACCCTGAAGAAAGAAGGGTTGGCATGTCATCTCTTACCAATATAAACACGTTTTATGTCTTGTTTACGGGCGTTCGCCCACGAAAATCGCGGTCGCACTGACAGATCTAGGGTAATCTTTACCCAGGGAAGTTGCTCTGGCGTCCCAGTTTGGGGATCCTTTATCTAGAGATCAGAGGTATTCTTCAAGATTCTTCTGTTTCAGTGGGGACTCTGGTTAACTACTATTGCAGTCGAACCTGCTCTAACGGCCACATGTTCAAGACAGTCGCCTGTACAAACGATCATTTCCCACCCCCGCTTTTTTTTCTATTTTAATTATAGTGACACTGAGACGACCAATCTTCTTGAGCGCCGTATTGCAGTCGAACCTGCTCTACCGGCCACGTGTTCAAGACAGTCGCCTGTAACGACGATCAAATCATTTCTTCCCACCCCCCACCCCCGCTTTTTTCTATTTTTATTATAGTGACACTGTCCGAGACGACCAATCTTCTTGAGCCCCGTAAAACCTCTACTACTGGGGGACTCTGGTTAAGTACTACACGTATTGCAGTCGAACCTGCTCTAAACGCCACCTGTTCAAGACAGTTGCCTGTAACAGCGATCTTTTCTCTTTTTCTCTTCCCCCCTCCCTCCCGCTGTTCTGTTTTCTATTTTATTTATAGTGACACTGCGAAACGACCGCTCTTTTTGACAATGGATGGTCGTCTTGGACGATTTCAACTGTATAGTTTAGTGCAGGGGTCTACGTGCTGTGCAGGTTGCCACATTCTCTTTTAAGTCCACGTTCGTTGAGTGCATAGGTTTGTTCTCGATAAGCCGTGGCTACCTTCGTAGCTGTTGCGGCTCTCTCTCTCTCTCT